GCCCTGATTGGCCGACCGCAAGTGACGACACGCTCGCGCGCCGCAGGGCGGGGCGACATCCGGGGGAGGAGCACTTCCGGCGGCCGCGCGGGTGAGTGGGACTGCGCCTCTTGGAGGCCGTGGACCAGAGGCCCCCACCGGTTGTAGGGGTGCGGTGCGCCCTCCATCCCCATCCTTCAATCTGTCGGTTGGGTTATGTTTTACTGAAAGAGCCTGTGTGCGTCGGAAAGGGTTGCTAAGAACCCAACACTCGTGATTCTGGGAGGTGGTTGCTGAGTGGTGTGACACTTCGCAAGCCTCGGGGCGGAAACGCGGCCTCACCGATGCCAGCCCGGAGCTGCGTTTCCTGTCTGGGAGCTGTCAGCTCCGTCTGCAGACCTGTCTTCCTGCCACCATTACCTCGCCCGTAGCTCAGCGAGGACTCTGTAGCCTCCTTATTTCTCGTGCAGACAGTTGCCAGGCCTCCCTCTCTTCCTGCAGCGCTGCTGTCCACCCTTCTCGAAGCCTGAGGAACAAAACACTCTTTAGACATCACAAAAGGATCCCATTTCCACCGCAGTCCCGTGCGGAGCGCGGTGCCAGGCCTGGCCTTCCCTGGATTCCGGCTGCCCATCACGGGCGGGTGGCATTACTTCCGGGTCTCAGGGTTCTAAAATTTCTTTTGGTGGCAAACTGGTTTTGAGCTTCTTTGGGGAAAGTTACTGAATAAATACCAAGTGTGATTTCGAAATATCAAAAATCTTGGTCAGACTTAAACGGATAAGCAAAAAGGACCCTTACAGCCATCACCCCCTATCAAATGGGAAGTTAGCTCTAAAGGAATTCTGTTAATGAGTTCTGTTTCCTCCTTAGAATCACAAATCTTGCCTTTGGTTGCAGAGCCCTTCATGATGATGGCTGCCTAGGTTTTCTGAGCTCACAGCCTTGAAGATCATTTGCAGTTGCATGTAGAAAGAACATAACTTAGTCACTATTCAACATGAACATCAATAAGAATTGCCACATATTGTTTTTTATTTTTATTTTATTGATTTTTTTATAGAGAGGAAGGGAGAGGGATAAAGAGTTAGAAACATCGATGAGAGAGAAACATCAATCAGCTGCCTCCTGCACACTCCCTACTGGGGATGCGCCCACAACCCAGGTACATGCTCTTGACCGGAATCGAACCTGGGACCCTTGAGTCTGCAGGCCGACGCTCTATCCACTGAGCCAAACCAGTTAGGGCTTATTAAGTATTTTTAATGTGTCAAGCATTGTAAATGCTTAAGAGGTGTTTCATTTAATCCTTACAAAATCTCTGTGATTGAGATACTATTATTATACCCAATTTTACAGAAAAGGAAATGAAGGCCCAGAGAGATGGAATAAGTTTATGTTTGTATGAGGCAGTGCCAGGATTCATAATCCAAGGTTGTCTGACTCTGACATTTGTGCCTTAACTACTAAGCTTTGTAGAGTTCCTTTTCTCCTGCCTTATGTAATTGGAAATTCAGCCTTAGGCTGGAACAAAAGGAGGTAAGATCAGTCAATAAGTGTTACATATCTTCAGGAAGATGTTTGCCCAGCAGCTGGCTTTAAAAGGATTGCTACTCAGGGAAAATAATGGTGCCAGGGTCCTAACAGTCTCCACTTCCCCTGAGCAGCAGGCCATAGGAAGCCTGCAGGACCAAGTCTTTGGAAAGATTTTTGGTTCTGCTGTGCTCGTTGATATGGAGACTGGACTGTGTACAAAGTGGTCTCACATAATCCCCTTGGTTGGTTAGGAACCAGGAAGCAAACTGGTCAGAAGAATGACTTTCGAACATTTTTCTACCCTTTCCTGCCCAGAGCTACCAGAACTATTTGATGATGGTTCCAAATCCATGTACAGGAGACACTGCAGCGGGGATTGCCGTGGAACCAGGCAGGCCTGTGTGCAACCTGCATTGAACGCAGTGTGAGTTTCCAAACTTCTCTGAACCTCATTTTCTTTATTTGTAACCTACTTTGATGTAAGGATTAAGTGAGATTTATGAAGTTCCTGGATTCGTTTGTGGTGTATATAAATACCCAAAAATGTTAGTTCTCTTTTTTGCCCCTTCTCCTGAACGTTTAAGGAAAGCATGTAGCTGTGATGACTATACCTTTATTGTTCCCTTTATAGAGCTACATACTGTACTGAATTTCAGTAAGATTGTAATTTACAGTAAGATCGTTTATCACCATTTATAACTTTAAATGTCCTTATTGACACTTCAGCAACATCATTTCCAAATAACAGCTTCAGCTTTAGTTGTGTCTGTCATGCATTTAACAAATAGTTACTGAAAATATATTAGGTATAATACATAGGTTACTCTTTAAGAGAACTTTCTGAAGACATTTCAGCAACATAGCGCGGTTCACAAGCAGGCATTAGAGAAATAGACTGTACTTTTAAGGTTTAATAACCTGTTCTTCCTCACTGGTCCCAAGCTCTAACTCTGGCCATAATTCTTTTTTTTAAATATGTTTTATTGATTTTTTACAGAGAGGAAGGGAGAGGGATAGAAAGTTAGAAACATTGATGAGACAGAAACATCGGTTCAGCTGCCTCTTGCACGCCCCGCACTGGGGATATGCCTGCAACCCAGGTACATGCCTTTGACCGGAATCAAACCTGGGACCCTTTAGTCTGCAGGCTGATGCTCTATCCGCTGAGCCAGACTGGTTAGGGCTGGCGATAATTCTTTTTAAAAAATATATTTTTATTGATTTCAGAGAGAGGAAGGGAGAGGGAGAGAGAGATAGAAACATCAATGATGAGAATCGTTGATCGGCTGCCTCCTGTACACCCCTCACTGGGGATCGAGCCCGGAATCCGGGCATGTGCCCTGACAGAGAATCAAATCGTGACCTCCTGGTTCATAGGTCAACGCTCAGCCATTGAGCCACACCGGCTGGGCTGGCCAAAATTCTTAATGAAAATAATTCAGTCTAGCAAGACACACATTCACAAATAAGGAAAACAAACACAAAATACCAAGTATGGAAGTAACGGTAGCAAAAATTAAACACATTTCTTTTAAAATATAATTTAGGAGACATTTTTCCCTTTAAAAGTCTCTAATTTTATTAATTAATCTTGTATAATCAGTTAAACAGCTTGTTTTCATCACTGCTAATCAATCAAAGGGAGACTTTTAAGTCCTCTTTTCCAATATAAAGTTATAAAATGTGCTGTGTGTGTATTGCACAGTGTAGCAGCTATACAGTGAATATTATTACAAAAATGAAAACTTTGGGGGAGAACTGAATCTTTCCTTCCACTGGCCTCGGAATTGGGAAGGTGTCAGCCTGGGCTGCCTCCATTTGGAAAGGGTCTGTTCCAGAGTGAGGCCGCCACAGGGAGACGCAGAGAGATGGGAGACCAAGTGGCATCGTTGAGCCCCTAGATCCAGCTTTACCTGAAGCTGATAAACTGAATTTTTCAGTTTTTTAAGTCAGTAGATTTTCTGTCCATATCAGCCTCTTGGGATTGTGTCTTTTGTCTCTTGCAACCCAAGAGATCTGACCAAAACAGAGGCCCTGCTACTCTGGCCTTGAACCACCTCTGCAGCCCTGTCTGCCTTGCTCTAGACACACAGAACTGCCATTCCTCCAAACACCCCATGTGCCCTGCGACTCCTGCTGGGCTTTCTGCCGGGGAGGGACTCACTTTTTCCCTTTTGCACTTGCTCTCAACTATTGAAGGTTCAGTTTGAACGCCAGTTCTTCCATAAAACCTTTCCCAGCTCCTCCCAGCGAGAAAAAAGAAAAAATGAAAACTTTGCAAGTCACTACACATCCAGGTATATTTTAAGTAAAATGAGTTTCCAGAAACTTGCAAAATAATAAGTTTACCTAAATGGTTACAATTTAAGTGGAGCTATTTTTTCCTAATCCAAAAGTGAAATAGTAAATAGATGAGACTCTCTGCTGGCAACTGCTTGGGAGTTTATAATGGCTGGTTCAAGGCCCTAGCCAGTGACTCTGCCATTCAGAATGCCACAGTCACTAAAGAGGTGCATTTATATAGATAAAAGGCTAATGTGTTAAGTGTCCCTCCACCCACCCAAACGGTTGCTATGATGCACACTGACCACCAGGGGGCAGATGTTCAACGCAGGAGCTGCTGCACTGCAGTGACTTGGCAGTGGCAGTTCTCAGGTGACGCACCCCAAAACCTGAGAGGAGGGAGCAGTGTGATTCCACCTTTGGCCATGGGTTATGTTTTTACTGGGGCACTGTCAACCCCAACTCTGGTTTACTGCACACTTGTGTTTGCGTTCCACACCCTCTATGACAGCAACTTTGCAGAGTGCCCTCTCGCACTCTGGGACCCCTCGGGGGATGTCAGAGAGCCGGTTTCAGCCTGATCCCCACAGGCCGGGTTGAGGGACCCCACCTGCCGGAGGGACCCCACTCACTCAGCCAACGCCTTTCGAGCCATGTGTGGCTAGCCAGGGAGGGACCACAGGAAGTTGGCTCCACGGCATGTCCAGTCCATCCCACCCAGTCCCACCCCACTGGCCACCTTCTAATTAATTTCCTTTCAGTGTGCACGAATCCGTGCACTGGGCCACTAGTTCTATCATAACCACCCTTGGCAAGATGAAGGCTGGGTATTCCCGCCAAATAAATGCACACTGTGGCATGACCACCTGACAACCATTTCAGAGGTGCGTCTGAGCTGGGGAAGGCACTGGATACTGATTCCTCAAGAATGGCTGCGTCCAAAGACTGTGCAGCTCCAAATCCATCGGAATGGAATACAGTCATGTTCTCTGTCATTAGCTCTGCCTTGCAATACGGAATCTTAGTTATTTCCTTGACGGTAAAACTAAGGAATTACATCACATTGGGTGGATCTGGGCAGGAGGGTTCATGATAGTAGAATCTTTAGCTGGAATCCTAAAAATGCCGGAAATGTAAGATAACCTCTTCTGGGCTAAAGTTAGCAATTGTTATGGACATACATATAGTTTTTGGTTCCAAGCCCTTCTCCAAGGCTCACTTCAAATGACACATCAGTGGCTGACATATTGTGGTGAGTGTCATGGGACTCTTGGCTAAAAGGAGATAGCTAGATATACAGTATACACACAAAAATGCATGAATACATGACAGGGCAGCTTCACCGGGTGCATGAAAAGCCTGTTAGGCCCTGGCTGGTGTGGCTCAGTTGGTTGGGTGCCATTCTGTGCACTGAAAGGTTGTCGGTTCGATTCCCAGTCAGGGCACATGCCCAGGTTGCTGGCTCCATCCCCAGAGTGGAGTGTGCAGGAGGCAGGGGGCATGCAGGAGGCAACCAATGATGTTTCATTCTTTCCCACCAATGTTTCCCTCTTTTCTTCCTCTGTCTCTTAAAAAAGAAGAAAAGCCTGCCAGGAAGGAACTGGTTCACACAACTAGGAATGGGTGGTCAAGATGGGCTGTTGTCTAGATGCTTCCCAGGCATTGGCCAACAACTGGAAGTTTCCCAGGGGAGCCCGTGGCATTCATCCTGGACCACGTTACAACTCACTGGCCAGTAGAAGTGTTCCTATCAGAGTAATTACTCAGTTAAGGTATTTCAAACTAGGTATTCAGAACTGGGATTTCTGGTGATAAGGTGAACAATCTAAATTGAAAATAATCTCACTACAAAACACCTAAAAATGCTGGATAAAATATATCAAACTTAACTTTAAAAGCATATAGAAACTCCGTAACCTCGCATGGGGGAATATAGATTATTGGCATTTGGGGATTTTAGGAAGTCCTACTTTATTTCTGTAAATAAAGTTTGTCAGTGAAAAGTGAAAGACATAAATCAGAATTTTTAAAAGAACATACATATATATTTTTAAATATATTTTATTGATTTTTTTTTAGAGAGGAAGGGAGAGGGACAGAGAGTTAGAAACATCGATGAGAGAGAAATATCGATCAGCTGCCTCCTGCACACCCCCCACTGGGGATGTGCCTGCAACCAAGGCACATGCCCTTGACCGAAATCGAACCTGGGACCCTTCAGTCCGCAGGCCAATGCTCTATCCACTGAACCAAACTGGTTAGGGCCATACATATATTTTTATCACAATGAATATTCCAGAAATTTCAGTCTGCTCTAGGAAAGTACTTGCAAAGATCAAAGCCAAGTTCAAACAGGAAATTCTCAGGAGAAAGTTATCTTGTCAGTGACACCAGACAAGCCTAGAGTAATAGTTCCCTATGGAAGGCATCTGGCAGCAGTTCTCCAGAAGTTTATAATCCCCTCTTCTCTCTCTGGCAAACTTCTACTCAGCCCTGGAGAAACAGCCCCTCTTAGGCCCTTCAAGCTGCTCTAACAAAATAACACAGCCCAGGGGACTGTAAACAACAGAAATTTACCTCTCGGTTCTGGAGGCTGGAATCCAAGGTCAAGGCCAGCTCGGTTGCATGTGGTAAGAGCTCTCTCTGGTTCCAAGCTGGAGCCTTCTCACTGTGTCCTCACATGGTAGATGCGGCGACCTGTATGTCCTCCTTCCTGGCACACCTGGAGAACCCACACCTATGGCCTGCTCATCATCTGGGCGGGGGTGGTATTTCTACATAAGAATCTGGGTGGGTCGGGGGGAGCAGAGGGAGACACATTCAGACCATAGCAGAGCCCGGATGTCACCTTCATGAGGTCTTCACTCTCGGAGGTAGTCAGCCATTCCTCATGTGCTTCTGGGGCACGGAGCGCACTGTTCCTGCTCTGCCTCCATCACCTTCAGTTTAACAGCACGTTCCTTGTCAGTCGCCTTCAATGGCCCGGAAACAGCCAGAGGCAGGGACACATCTTGCTCATCTCCCAACACCCTTGGACTGTACCTGGCATATGGTTGACACTCGGTTGTTTCAGTTGTTAATAACAACAGGATTCTATTTACTGACTGCTTCTCCTCTGCCAGGTCATTTGCTAAATAAGCC